CCCTTATACGCACACCAAACCTTACTGGCTTATTCATGACTTTGTCTGCAGGCCATGCAATAAACTAGCTGCACTGTTGGTTCCTTCAGAGAGGCATTGATTGTAACTTCCTTTCCCTGCACTGACACGTTGTTATATGTTTAATTTTTTGGATATCTGCATGAAAATGTGATCTTGTCTTGATGTAAGACTGTAATATGTAAAGATTTTTTAAAGATGACTCATCTCAGTGGGATTAAGCTCAGATGAGCCACTCTGTTGTGGTTATTGTTTTTTACTTATGTGTTTCCGGATCATTTGGATTGTGTTGCGTGACCCAGCCTGTTTTGTGAAAAAAATTTATGGAATTTCAAATTCATTGGGGCCTTAATTATGGGGAGTTTTCCGAGAACCAAAGCAGCTCAGCACCATTATAGACTCCTCCTCCATAGTGCTTCACTGTTAGAATGAGGCTTTGGAGTTGCTGTGGTTTGTGTTCTCAAACTTTTGCCTCATATGTCCCCAGAATGTCGTTTCTGTACTGGTGTGGAACATTCAGGTGGTTTTGCAATGTTTTTAGAGAGCAGTGTTTACCTCACAGGTGTTACGAAGTGTAGGAGACGCCTTCAGATCCATACCTGTCACCCTCAGGTTCTTTGTCACTTGTTTGAAAATTCTACATCATAACATTGCACTGATCTTTGTCGGATGCCTTAGGGAGAGTAGCAGTGATGCCAAATTTCTTCCGTTTGTAAACTGTCTACCTGATCGTGGACTCATGGAGAACCAAATTGAAATTTTGTTACTGTTTCCAGTCTTATGAGCTTCAGCAACATTTATTTGGGTGGTATTTAAATCTAGTCAATGTCTCAATAAGATTGATGTTGAGATTGTTGTAACAATATTGTAAGAATCAATAACTTTTAAAGGAAAAGGAAAACTTTTTTTTAACTTCATAAGGAATTTTATTTAGTAAAGTGCCTTATTCCATTGGAAGATAATTTTACTTCCTTCAAGAAATAATGCAGAAAATTTGTTTAAATAAACATGTAAATACATTTTAACAAATTAGTGGAATTAAACACTTTGACTTGAAAAATGTATTTAAAACAAGAATAAAACCATTAGAAATAGATTGAATAATCTTAGAATAATATTCTTACAACAATCTCATAATGAGAAATACTTTACATATTGATTAGATTTAAGATCTTTTTTTACTTGCCAAGACATTTTTGCCGGGTAGAGCACTTCAACAGATTTCAGTTTTAAAGAATGGGTAGCCGTTTTTCTTAAATGTTGGTCAGGTCAAACCCACACCTGAACTGCAGCTGATTCTTATTACTTCCTTTTCAAGAAAGCGTCATCCTAGAGGCTCTCGTACTTCCTCCACCAGTGATTTTGTGTCTGTAGTTATGGCAGATTGAAATGTGTGTCAATAAGTAAGACAGTCTTATTATGACCACATCACATCTTATTATGTCACATCACATTTTATCCACCGTTCATACGGAAATTTGTATAATTTCAAAAGCTTCAAATTTTGCTCATATATTGTCATATGCCCCGCCTCTGACCCCACTTTCTTCGCAAGGAGAGAAAAAATTATTGACTCATATGATTTTCTTTGATAAGATATTGCTGTTATTTACTTTATTGAAGCTTTGTCCCTCTTCTGAGATCTAACAATCTTCCGACAATAGGAATGAATGGAGGGCCAGTAAGAACTTGGCAGCAGCACCTTTTTACTTTTTTTGCCTTACCATTTTCTTTCACTTACATTTCACACCATATGAGAGAGAGATTGTGAAGAGAGACCTTGAGGATTGGTGGCATGATCATAGAGTTTTAACACACTCCCAGCCAGCAGAGGTCGTAGTTAATTAAGGGGGGTATGAAAGGAAGCATTTGGGATGTTATAAGCACATACACAAATGGTCTCACACACACACACACACTTTTTACTGTCCAGCTGGCACATTTATGGAGTGGAATTGATATGGCGACTTTTGCAGGGAGCATCTGTGCGAAAAGCCTAGTCTTCTCACACACGTACGTGCACAGCTCTTTGCACACACTAACTCACACATCCATTACACATCATTCAGACTCTGCCATGCATCAAAAGGAACTAATTTGTCTAAATAGATCAACAAAGCTTTGTTTCACTAAAATTCCCATTGTTTTCAGGGTTCATATCGTCATGAAAGTCCTGGAAAAGTCTTGGAATATAGAAATTTGGTTTTCCAGGTCTGGAAAAGTCATGGAAGATAATAGGTGCTGGAAAAATCATGGAATTTCAAGGACTTTTCCCCTATGTTGTCCGTTATCTCATCACATTTGAAGCACTGAAGAGTCTAGATCCTAGTACCAAGACCCGAGACTAATGTATCTGCACATGGACTAGCTTTACTAACGTTGTTAATATGAATCTCCACTAGCTAAGATGTAACATTCAGGATGTGTGTGTTGTGGAAGATCTTTTGACATTCGAACAGTGGAGAAGATGTAGTAACAAGCCAAATATAAGGAAAAACACACCACTACTTCTCACACCTGCATGACCCTTACAAGATTTGCATGACTAGCTTCTTCACTGTGAGAGTAGTTTTTCACAGCGTTCGGTCTGCACCATAGCGGCTAAACCAACATCATATCCTGCAGCTACATTAAGAAATAACAAGCTAACTACTGAGGTACTCTCATTGATTTGATTTTATGCAGTTTTTGATGTACTCTGAGTACTTACAGTTGTGAACTGGCTCTCGTTACATTCCCTCTCCTAAATACTGTAAAAATTGAATCAAAATTCCCTGACATTGCGGTTTTGGACAGGACTAAAATCACTGAGAAACTTTGGTAGCCTAATAAACACATTACCTTCCCACATCATGTAAAACTAATCCCTCTTAAACTTCAGTTAGGAAACTCATTTTGCTGGCTAAATAAATATGTCTTTGTTATTGTTAACTCATTTGATTTTGAGTTAAATGTAATGAAATGGAGAATGGTGTCCACCGAATGATGATGTGCGTGCATGCACAATGTGTCTGTGTTATGTGTTATAAAAAGATGCTGAACCCCTCTTTACAAATGAAACCGATGGATGTGTTTGTGCTAAATCATAGTATATTCAAACATATCACAGTATCCTGCTATCAGGTTATATTAAAGTTTAACATTAATAAAGTTAATGAACTCATTCTTCCTGAGTTTGCTTATTTGTATGGATGAAGCAAATGAGTTTAATGTGAGCTATTAAGGACTGATTGAGTAAAGTGCACAAAATTAAATGTTCCTTCTAATATATCGTTAAAAATATCACTAAAACAGGACATTAGTATCACAGTATACCAGTATAGAAGATATTACCCAGCATTCTACTAAATATTTGACATCGAAATTTCATTTTATGTCATGGAAAAGTCATGGAATTCCAAGTTTGAAAAAATGTACAAACCCTGTACTTAATTCTACACCACGTGTACACTCTCCAAGCCCAATCACTGTTCTTTTGCCTAACCTAAAATGAGGTTTGAAAGCAAAACAATATCTTTTTGGCCAAAATAAAGAGGTAATTGAGCTTGTACAGAGTGGTGTGCGCTGTTTGCTAAACAGAACTCCTAATCACTGCATTGGTCACTCTGAGACCTCCTCTGCTTGCTGTTTGTCCCCTACACGAAGATGTACGCTGTATGCTAAGGACAGCATGTTCGGTGGTAGTTTGATTTTGTTTAGTTATTTTTGTTGTTTGAAGTATACTGCCAGCTTAAAATGTCATTCAATATGCTAAGGCTTATCTGCTTCAAATGCTGCTCACTCCCTCTATTGATTAATTGCTTTGGAGCTCTCAAACCATACAGGCAGTAGCCAATATAATCCACCTGAACTGTGGAACTATTTCACAGTTTCTTATCACTGAATGTGTGTTATGATTAAATGGACGTAGCCCTAGTGATTAGTCCTAAATCTGTCCAGCTACCTTCATCTAGCGTAGGCTGTCAGACTGTCTGATTATGAAACAAAATATGACTTGAGCTACTGATGAGGATACACCCAAGTCGTGAACTGTCTCATTGTTATATGTGCCATGCGGAACTGGTTGTGAATGGGTTGGGCTCAACTTGCAATGCTTTGGCTAATAAATGGTATACATTCATTCATGTGCTAATGCAGTAAAGCAAATGGAAACTTAAGTGGGTGTCGTCTTTTGTGACCTCTGTGGATTGTGCAAATTGAGGCTAGAATATTCTACACACAAGGGACTGGGCTGTTGTTTTAACACATGCTTTTCCTTTAAGATAACATCGACTGATTTCCATTTGTGCAAGATGGTTCACTCGCTGGGCAGGGCGTAGACTCCAAGATTGAGATGCATGATTTTCAATGGAGAATCCTCATTAACTGCATGTTTTAATATATGCTTTAATATGTTTTAACAGTGTTTAACAGCTAGATGCATTTTTTGAAGATTCGTTTTCAGATACTCGCAGAAAGACACGTTTGCATATATAGAACATGAGCAAGTTTATTACCAATTGTTAATATTTTTTAAAATTATCTCGTCATTTTGGATTTCTTTAAATAGCCCCGGTTGCTTTAATACCAGATTCACAAATGTGATGTTTGAGCAAACCACCTGACAATCCTTCTCAGATGTGTGACTAAGTTGGGCTTTGAACTGGAATCTCTTTGCTTTGAATGACCATTTATATTTGTCAGACTTCTGTTACAGATCTCTTCCTAACTGAATCACTTAATTCTGAAATTTAAGTGATAATGTATTATGTCTGTAATATTTTATTTATTCATAATACGTAATATTAAGAAACACATTTAATCGTTTTTTAGTATGAAGTTTTGTTTACGCAAACCTTAAACCTAAGTCACTTTTTTGAGAGTAAATGATTCTACTGTTTGTCTTGACCAAGTGTTTCATTCCTCATCAAGGCTTTTATGGCGATGGGTTATATTTAGCATTGTTTCGCACTCACAGCATTCCATTTACTGTGAATCTCTAGGGCTGTCTGGAAATCCAGCAGACTTGGAAAAGCGCCACACGGCATTCGGGAAGAACTTCATTCCTCCTAAGAAGCCCAAGACCTTCCTGCAGCTGGTGTGGGAGGCGCTGCAAGATGTCACCCTCATCATCTTGGAGATAGCAGCCATCATCTCACTAGGCCTGTCTTTCTACCACCCACAAGGAGATGACAGTGATGGTAAGGCAACCCAGAACCTTTTTAGGAATGTTTTACTTGTGCTATTGGTTAGTTTTAAAGTTTTACAATAATTTTTTTTTTTCAAAAGTAGTGGTTTGTAGGGTTGAGTGATGTCTACCTAACAACCAAACATCACAATGGACAATGACATGTGCGGGGGGTGTTAACGTTAGTTAGGTACTATGAATACTCAACACTCCTTAAAGTACATATTCATCAATTTAGATCTCCGGGTAAGTAATAAGTAATAAATGTAGTTTTGTACGTTATAGCAGAGACTCTGGAATTATGCCGTTTTCAATTATGAATGACATTTTTTTCAACACAAACCTGTCGGAGCGTCAGTGTTGTCTCTCACTCTGAAATCGCTGTAGTATCACTCCATCCCGTGAACCAGACAGTCCTTTTTCCACACTGACTACCTCTGCGTGACATGAGTGATGCAGCAGTGATGCTACAGCTCGCACACAATGCCCATTCATACACAGTGTCTATGCTGTAGAGTTGTTCAACAGATCTACATACTGGAAATTCTCACCAATCACAACAAAGTTCTACCGATAGAAAGAGTTAGTCTCATGAGGCGGGGTCATCATGATGTCGGCTCAACATTTCGATGTCTGTCAGTCAATGGACGTGTCGGCCCAACCCCTGTGGTGAGGGATATACAGCACAGCGCTTAAGCGTCCTTGGGTTTGTGAAAGGTGCTATATAAATTGAACTTATTATTATTCTGTGCACAAGTCACCTAGGCAAATTGTTTAAATCCATAAATTTTAGCAGTAAATGTGTTTTTTTTGTAAAAACACTAAATGACATTACAAGAACACAGTGGAAGGACACAGGTTTGGTTCTTGACTTCTCCTTGCCTTAATACCCCCAGAAATCACAGAAAAAAGACTAGCCAAACCAGATACTGAGTATGTATGAATAGTATCAGGCTGCCGTCAGGAGAAGTTTGAAAATGGTTAAACAAACATAACATACATAAAACCATTACTTATTGTATTAGTGTTTTTGTATATATTCTAATATTAATGCTTAAGAGTTTTGCATATTACTGTATATGCACCACTGAAAATGTTCCCTGGAAAAGTCACAGGCTGTGACAGTCTACAGAACTGGAAATGCCAGCAGTCTTATTGATATTTCCTTTTTGTTTTTCGGTTTTGTCACAAAAAATATTTTGTTTCAAAAATTATTTGGAATCTCTTCAGTTATGTTGGGACAAGCATCGTCTTGTGCTGACTGCTCAGAATATGTAAGAGCCTGTATTGGCAGCTGCTGTGAACTTGTGAGTTTCCCCATATGGCTCAGAGTGCAAGAGTGACCTTCAAAGTCATCTAACTCTCAGGAGAGAAAATTAGGTCAGTGACGTGGAATCCAGCATTGGTAAATAGTCCTGGCAGTCAGGAAGGTTTTTGGGAGGATAAATATACATGTCGTTATGTATGGCATAAATCGACATGAAGAGAGTGTTTAATGGTTTTTAAGGGTGACATTTCATAAATGTCAACTAAGTTAGGATGATTTCACCGTCATATGGACTCTGCTCTATGTTTGTTTATTTTCAGCATGTGGCCAGGCTGTTGGTGGTGTGGAGGATGAAGGTGAGGCTCAGGCTGGCTGGATTGAGGGTGCTGCCATCCTGTTCTCAGTGATCATTGTTGTGCTGGTGACTGCCTTCAACGACTGGAGCAAAGAGAAACAGTTCCGTGGGCTGCAGAGCCGCATCGAGCAGGAACAGAAGTTCACCGTCATCCGCAAGGGCCAGGTCATCCAGATACCCGTGGCTGAGATTGTGGTTGGAGACATCGCTCAGATCAAATATGGTGAGATTTCCCAGTGTGAAGTGAGTGAAGAAGTGAAGAAATTTTAGATTTGTCCATAATGATAAACAGTTGAACAGATGAACAGCTATAAGAGATTCTAAAATTACTGAAAAATTTGTATAACATCAAGAATGAAGTTATAGTAAAATGAACGTCCAGAATGCCTTGTATTTGCCAAGGAAGTGCTGATCAAATCTGGAGGCAGATAATGTATAAAAGAATATAGATACATAATCACAGTGTATTATTAATCAGTTTATAACTTCTTGCTGTTTGAAAACTTTGAAAACTTCAAAAACTTTGAAAATATTGAGTTACGCATCTTGACATACACTATGGTGTCTAGTTTAGATTTTTCAATTTACACTATATAACTCATTATTAAATAGTAAATTTGATCACAATGTCTGCATTTGACCATTTCTGATGTATAGCATTTTTTTGAGCTTGAGTGTTTTGTGAGTTTAGTTGCCCAAAAGCCACCCAAAATATTCCTCGAGTACCAGCTCACAGAAAAAAAGGCCTTTTATTGCTGAAAGCCTTGTCTAAAAAATTCAACCAAATGAAGGATTGCCAGTTGAACATCATCTGTTCTTCTTGTATTCTCTGTAACTGAACTATATTCTATACTCACTAGACTAGAGGCCAGCAGGTACCCAAAAGGCTAACAGGCTTGTTTAACAATATTGAGAAACTTCAGACCTTTTGCCAGAAGAGTCGCAGTAAAACTAAGTATAGAATAGAATATGTTATGTGTATGCCTGTTACAAGCTCCACATTCCTGTGTATAAGCTAGAATTGGCATCTAATGTAATTATACAACACTGCTAGCTTGGCGCTAGCAAAACTACAAATTTCCGTAGGGATGCTGGCAGAAATTAGTATTATGTTAGCAGCTAATTGGACAATACAAGCTTGCTTATAGAATAAAGTAAAAGGTCTCTGCAATAAACATTGGTGTGTAATGACATACAACTTGCAGACCTTCATGACTGTACAGTTCTACCTGGTTCACAGCATAAACAAAGCTATGAAAAGTTCAAGAATGATTAATATTACTTGTCACGTCACGTCGTACATCCCTACGTCTGTTGAAAATTCAAATGTCACTTCAAGTGTTTACAGCTGGAATGCATCTTTAATATGAAAAGCGATTCCAAACTTTTGAATGGTAGTATACATTTGTCATTGTTGCATCCTTACCCCCACAGCCCCAAACACTGGCTATAGTGCAACATCAAAGTATATTTCAAATCTGTAGGATCTACCAAAGGACCTACAAAAATTAATTCACATAGGCTGTATGTAATCCCATGGTCATAGCTTTCTCTGTATATGTGTCTGTGAAGCACTTGACTTCCATGAAGGGCCTGATATTTCTAAAGCCCAGTTAGTTTGCTCTCTGAGTCATATGCATTGCCAGCGAGCTTCATGGGCTGGTTTCACAGTGTCTCAGAAGCATGCTTTAGTGTGCTGAGTGCTGGTAGTAACAGATCATATATGGCTGGCGGTCAGAAGCTCCTGTTTCAGTCCCAGCACAGCTATGACTCATGCTAACAGGCTTATGTGAGTCACGGTGCTGATGCCTGGGCTGGTCGAGACGTGGGCGACGCGTGGGGCTCCAAGAGCCACATGAGAGCGCTGTCTCCATGGTGGCCGAAAGCAGCCTTCCTCCTCTCACTCCATCTCTCTCTCTCTCTTTTTGCCCCAGTCAGTCTAATATTCTCTTAATATTTTCTTTCACTCTGTCCTGTTCTTTTTCTTTTCTGTTTTTTTTTTGTTTCTGTCTTTTTTCACCTTTCCCGCTGTCTCTTCTCTTACTCATTCTCTCTCTCTTTGTAACATCTTTCCGTTCTTCTTATGTCTTCAGGTGACCTCCTTCCTGCAGATGGTATTCTGATCCAGGGCAATGACCTGAAGATTGATGAAAGCTCACTCACTGGAGAGTCTGACCAGGTCAGGAAGTCTCTGGACAAAGACCCCATGCTGCTGTCTGGTGAGCACCTGTTGTTTTTGTTCTGCACTGGTCAAATATTGCCATGTATTACTATTGCAATGTGCAAGGAAGCCAGTTTGTAACTAGGAGTTTGGAATTTGGTTATTAAAAGAAGATTTTTGTTTGTCCTGGAAGCTTATTGTGTCATTTTTTTCACCTCACATGCAACTAAAACATAATGTTTTTAAATGGTCCTTGGCTTTAGTGTATGGTTTAAGGAGAAATCTTTAATTGACAGAACCTTTACACTGTTGTGGATGTTCTTTAAACTTTTAAGTAGTTATTCAGTCATACTTTTATGTTTTCGTTTACAGAAATGGTTCTTTTAATAACCATAGATTTAAAGACTCTTTAGGGGCCAAAAGTATCTGCAAACAGCCAGTGTGGTTGCCAGTTTCATTCCAGCAAAACAGAGACACACATGATCAGTTATTTTAAGATTCAGAGAACTGTTTAAACAGGTGGACTCAGGTGTGCTCCTGCTTGTTTACAATGAAGACCTGAAACCACACCGGCCTTTTGCGGATAAGATTGGCAGCCCTGTTCCATGGTTTCTGTGGAGCGTGGTCACATGATCTCTTTCCCATTGGTCAGGAACTCATGTAATGGAAGGTTCTGGGAGGATGGTGGTAACTGCTGTGGGCCTGAATTCCCAGACTGGAATCATTTTCACCCTTCTTGGAGCTGGCGGTGAAGAGGAGGAGAAGAAGGTGAAGAAGGGTGAGTCTGTCCATAAATCGATTTAGAATCATACCAATAAAACCCCCTACAGGCCAAAACAATCAACCTACCTCACCTAATACCCATATGGGCAGTTTCTGTGTCATCTTCCCTTCTCAGAGGTAAGAGCTATTTGAGTGATATCCCATTCAGTTTTTAGTTTTGCCCATCAGAGTTCAACAAAGCTGAGGAGTGAAGTATCACTGATGCTAGAGCGAAAGGTCAAGACGAAGAATTCATGGGCTCTTGTGAGTGGAGATCAATCAGTACCAGTGGTTGCACTCTCTCCACCTTATTTATTTCATGTATTATATTTACTTTATATATTTCACATAGTGCTAATACCTTAAATTTTAGTTTCTTTTTTCTTTTGATTTACTTTCCCGTTTCCCTCCGTCAAATTTACATCCCTCAGGCATTCATCCTTGCTGGGCGGAACGTGTCATTTCTGAGGAAAGACAGTTGGGAAGCCTGTATGTTAAAAATGAAACAAAAAAAAGTCTATTGAATGCTACACACTTGTCACTGCCACAAGAGATTTGTAAGACAGCTGTAGAAGCACTCAGCGCTCTGAAAGTCACCTGTCCCCTCAACTCAACATTCAACACCTCCCCTTTGCGATATTTTTGACTGTAGCTGGCCTTCCTGGTCCTTCGGGCACACCTTAGACTTAACAAAAAGTGTCACAAGCACACTCGCTGTCCACACACAAGCACCTGCTGTCATCAATTCACCTCCTGTATATTTGATGTCCATGTGTATGGACCCTCTCTGATTCTCTACTAAGAACAGAAAAGGTCTGGCATGCCACGTCGTCTTATTGTCAAAGCAAAACCAGTGTCAAAACAGCTCTCAAATCGCATCCTGACTTCATGAGCCAATTATCGCGCTACCACAATGATTGCCAACACAGCCATGGCGAAAGTGTTCCGAAATGCGGTTCACTGCAGACACAATGAATGTTTTGGCAGCCTTTTCAACTTTTATAATTAGCTCTCATTTGCTTTTTTTACCCATCCTGCTCCTGGTGTTGTCACATATTTTAGAGTTTCACTTAAAATAATGACATGAAATTGCAGGCTGATTTTGTACTGTTTTGACTGTTTGCAAGGAAGTCAACTTCATTTATGTAAAAGTTGCTCTTCAAATTTATGAACAACAGAGTCAGAAAGCATTAGAGAAATATCCTTAAAGAAATACTACTGTAAGGATTTTTCAACCTTATCTCAATCTGCAGCATCCGTATCAGATGTCCACTTGGCATGGACAAAACTTCTAAGCATTTTCCTGTACTTGGGGAAAAAAAACAGCCTGACTTGAAATGAACTTGAAATTGAAACCAGTAGGTTATTCAGTGCTTGAAAGACACCGGGTGTGCTGCAGATTAGGTTGAAAGCATTCTTGTCAATACAGTATGATTTCCTGAAGAGTATCGAAGATGTCAGTATACCGTGACAGAAGAATTGGCTCTATTTTTTTTTCTCAAGATGACACATTTTAGCCCACGTTCACACATGTGAAGTGGCATTGATTTGATTTTTTTGTATCTGGTTTTTTAAATCTTTGTTTCTTTTGATTTGTGTCTGGTTCATTTAATTTAAACCATGTTATATCAGCCCTCCGCCCTCTCTCTCTTGTTCTGAACAGGTAAAAAACAAGGAGCCCCCGAAAATCGCAACAAAGGTAACCCCCCCCCCTCCCTTTCCATTCAGCGACAAGTCTTGGAGTCTCGTGTCAATCTCACTCACTCTTTCACCCAACTCTTGTTCTTTTTCTCTTTATCTATCTCTCTTTATCTTTCTCTCTCTGCCTCTCTTTCTCTCTATTTTTCTTTCTCTCTTTGTCTCTCTCTCTCTCTCTCTCCCTCTTTCTGTCGCTTTGACTCTTTCTTGCTGAGCCCGTGGGAGCTTCTTCCCACCTCGCTTTACCTGTGAAAGAGTGCAACTCTCACCTGCTGAAACAGAGCTGAGCACTTTTACTGTCTTAGACACACACACACACACACACAGAGCCAGAGGGGGCATAGAACTAAAGAGGTTTAGCTGTAGCAAAATACTTCATACAGTAATAAGCACTGCAGTTATTAGACTCAGTTCTGCTCAGTTTAGATTTTGCTAATATCCCATAAGGGAGCGGAGTACTGCTTAAAGTTGAATTGGGTGTGTTACAGCAGGGTTAACACTAAAATGTGCCAGTACTCTAGTTTCAGGGCTGGGGAACTGCTTTTATCAGTGCTGAAGGAGTACAGTACTGTGCAAAAGTCAGAGACCACCCTTAATTTATACTTGTTTTTCTAGTAAAACGACCATTAAGTACGAGGAGATTTCACGTAAGATCATCGACTTTTCTGAGGAAGGGGAATGTCAAAGAAAAATACACTTATATGACGTTATATTCTGTTTTGTTGAATGAGGCAGCACAGCTTGTAGGGTTCAGTAATATTACAGGGCAACTGATGAAACATCAGACATACCATGAAAACAAGAGTTTCCAAAACTAGAGTTAAAAAAATAAATAAATAAAAGATTTTAAAAAAATGTGACTCCACTGGCTTTCATCTTTTAGAGATAGGAGAGAATCAAGCTTTACTCCTGCTTCAATCTGAAAAAATGTACAGATGTTTCTGTTCAGCCTTCCATTGTGAAAGGATATGTTGCTGTGAGGAACCGTTACTAAGAAAAGGAAATAGACAAGAAAGAGAATGTGCAAATCAAGCACAGACCTCAGCTTCACTGAATGTGTTTGGGATTATTGGATCATGAAGCAGAAAATGCATTCAGCTTCTAAGACTAAACTTCTAAGACTGCTGATTTCTTCGAAAAACTAAAAGCAAGTTGAATATATCCTCACAATGGAAAATCAGTAACTTGTACATAAAAGCAGTTTTAATTGTAAATTAAAATAATGAAGGGTGGTTTCTCACTTTTGCGCAGTGCTATATATCACTAGAAAGCTTATCCTTTATTAATGGCTATTAAAGACGGACATTTTTATCGTCCGTACTCTGTGAATATTTGAATATTTATTTTAAAAATTGTACTGTTATGAATTAAAAAGGAAAACAGAAGATTTTCTTTCATTTATTTTTAGTATAAGAGGTGATCCATACCTAATGGTTGATTCAGTAATTTGTCATTGTGTTTAGTGCATATGTGATGTAACGTACAGAGCTTATACTGTACAATTTTTATATTTTTTAATACTTAAAGGTTTCATGTACAGCTCTGCATAGGTGTTGCCATTCTGATTGCTTGTGTTGCCATTTTACGAGGACAAGTGAATGAGCACGGTATCTGACTGATACCCAATGCCAGTATCAGTATCAATGCATCTCTACTTGAGATAATAATAAAACATGTATTACATTTTATATTCTAAATGACATGCCTTATTTTTTTACCCGATTATGTACTGGATTTGGGTGTCCATATAATCAAATAACCAGACTCATCCCTAATCCTTAGTGTATATATGGGCGTGTGCCTGATATTTGAAGGGGTTAAAAAGCGATGTGTGTTTATTTGGCTCAGGCATATCAGTGTTCAGTATTACAGGGTGCAGCCTCCACCCTGCACAGACTCTTCCCTCATGCTCAGGGACACAGCATCTGCTCCAGACAGCAACACTCACATAGATCGCACTGCTCTGTCTGCCCTTGGACACACACACACACACACACACACACACCCTGACAGGAAAAGCAGGATACACACAAAAGTGCTGAGTTACTGCTCTTGCGCTTCTTATACATGAACATAGTATTCGTATTATTCCACATTTGCATTGCCTTTCATTTATTGTCAACCTTTTTGTGGGTTTTCCTACATCATTATTAGGGGGCTGCTTCAGCTAGAGGAGAAGATGCTGAGCATGTGAAGAAAAGCTCTGGGGGCTGCTGAGTGGGAGTTGCACCCTTGCCAAATCAATGGGCTGTGAATTGTTGTTGTATTTCTTAGTTCCTTATTGTCTCTCACTGTTGCCTCCTTCTAGGGTGTGCTCAGGAAACTCATGCTGTCTTGTACACTGTTCCCACAGTCACTGTGTGATTACTCCTCCTCTCTCTCTTTCTCTCCCCCTTCCTCTGCATCGTGCTCTCCTATAAAAAAAAAAACAGTTTTTCAGCCTCTTCTTTCTCTTGGCCTTCCTTGTTTACTTTTGTGGTGATCATATTTCTTTTTTTATCAATCCTTGGTTATTATTATTATTATTATTATTAGTTTGTTTATTTAGTTCTTTATTGAATTTTGAGTTTGTTGAGTCTGTAACACACTCGCTCCCCCACCCTTCGTCGTGCGTGCGTCTGTGCGTGCTGTCAATCCGTCGGTCAGTCCATGCATCTGGTCTGTCAGTCCTGCAGTCCATGTGTGGCCGCTCGGTCAGCCCTGTTACACTCTAATGGGCTCTCACACATGCAGTTCAGCGAACGGATTCCCTCCTCTCCCCTCTTTCAGTGCCTTGTTTCAGCTCGGTATCTCATATATTTTCATCATGCTACCAGAACAGTATTGGAAATGATGTTCCAGGCTAATTTTACACTGCTTTATGATGCCCAGGGCTGTACAGTGCCCCTTATGGCAGAGATGGACAGGAAATTGGGGGCGGGATCAATGTTTAACCATAGCAAAAAGCCCGAATTGGATCTTAGATTCCATTATGTTTCTATTTTAGCCAGAGACCCCGTAATGCAATATGTCTGTCTGTGGAATAATTGAATTACAGCAATCATAGTCTGAGATATCGTGATAAGGGTTCCTAACAAAGAGTTTTTAACCTGATCCCATCTTTCTTGTTTAATATGTAATCCCTGATATCTGTCTTATGAATGAATAATTCCGTTAAGTTGAATGAGGCAGCACTGAGTCAGACGAGTATAGGGTTAGTCTTCCTGAACTATAGAAGGGCATATTTTGTGGCAAATCATAAGGCATCAAACACACCATGATATGAGGAGACTTAAATGGAAAGTCGCTGTGGGATTAAACTCATTTTAAATGTGCTCATGTAAAATGATCTCCCAGCTCTGAACCAAGATAAGACATTTTTTGGTCCTAGACTTCTTCGTAGAATCCTGGAACATGTGAAACTTGAATTTGAGATGCTACATTCTAGGTTTAGTAGCAGTTATTGTTAAAAATATTTAAAGCCTTGTTAAAAATGTAAAACTATGTTAAATTCTAATGCAATTGTGTATATGTTATGTTCGGTCTGTAAAGGGAATTAAGTCCTAAGATATGTCAGAAAGTTCATAGATATACAGAAAAATGAACTTTTAGAACTTCTTCAGTCATGACTTTCACTTTCTTTATATCCAGTAACTCACTCTAACAACAGCTTGTTCTAAATGAGATTTTATTCACACCATAAATACTCACTAATGTCAAAAAAGATACAAGTTCTGATCTGATTTTGATTGTTGTTGTGATTGACTCTCTTTGACTTCCAGCGGTCACTGAACTGCCCACTCTTTCCTCCCCTCTGCCTTTCATCCCCTTTCCCTTCCTCTTCATCCATCCTCCTTTTTGGCATGTGTTTCCCTTGTTCCCCAACCCCCCCTCCCCCAGCTAAGACCCAGGATGGCATTGCCCTGGAGATTCAACCGCTGAAGAGTGAAGAGGGGGCTGAATCAGAGGAGAAAGAGGAGAAGGAGGAGAAGGAGATCAAGAAGGTCAACGTCACCAAGAAGGAGAAGTCAGTGCTGCAGGGCAAACTGACCAGGCTGGCCGTGCAGATCGGAAAAGCAGGTGGGGGCAGACAAACTGAGCTGCTTATAAAATCTAATACATTTGCATTAGTCTGACCCATTGCCACATCCTTTCTGCTGAGGTTAATCTACTGTTTGTGTGAATAAATGTGGATGTTCATTGGACACATATTACATTTACCATTGTAATCACTTCCCGAGCTGACGTGAGCTAGCAGAGACCAAATCATTCCTGCTCTTTTGTACCAAGCAAAGTATTTATATTAATTACCCACTGGGAGGTTAAATGTGCAGTGACTGCTTGTTTGCATTATCCTGAACACACACAGCCAGCATATGGGCTTCTTCAGACACCTCTTTTTGTAAATGAGTTCATTTGTCATACTCTGTCCTGGTTCAGTGGGTTTATTTTACTTACTGTGTGAAGAAACAGAGTCACCCAGTAAGAAAACAGGGCCTGTCCCTTTGGGCTGTACTCCACATAATTATCCCACTTCCAACAGCACGTCTCCTGCAATCAAAGCGGACTCGGATGGCACACAGAAGATGACAGCTGTTGCTAGTGAGGCTAAAGGAAATTGGTGAACTCCTTCTCAGTCATCTTCTCTGAGCTGTGCTGGCCTGTCATGGAAAACTGAATTTTCCTCACTGTTTTTAAATAAGAAGCTTTGACGTAGTATGTAGTTTCAGTTCCCTGTCCACACAGTCAATATAAAGAAACTGAGCTGTAAAAACGGCCCTTTTTGAATTAACTGTTTTCATGATGTCCAGTGCATTTAACTATGTCTCTTCTGCCTGCAGCAGTTTAACCCCACCTATGCATGCTAAAGTTACTAGGAGCGTTTTAGCTCAGACTGCTTTTTAAATGGCACATAGTGCAGGGAAATCAGAACAGAGGTTGCTTACAAATGTCGGTCTTAAAGGCACAGTAACAAAAGCAGCCTGTTTAATTCTAAGGGATTAAGAGAGGTTGGAAAGTGGTCATATTATGATTTTTCTTGTACAAACCCCACAAAAAAACATCACTACATTATAAGTGGGGAAAGAAACCATTTTTCTATTCTCTTTCTATTTCCACAGGTCTAATCATGTCTGCCGTGACAGTCATCATCCTCATCTTGTACTTTGTCATCTATACGTTTGGAGTGAACAAGCAAGAATGGAAGGCCGAGTGCACGCCTATTTATATCCAGTACTTTGTCAAGTTCTTCATCATTGGTGTGACAGTGCTGGTGGTGGCTGTTCCTGAGGGGCTACCCCTTGCTGTGACCATTTCTCTGGCCTATTCTGTCAAGGTGAGGGCCTGGAGTGAGTGACCCTGTGGTCACGCATTATTATAAAGTTAGATAAAAACATCTTGCATATCTATAATTCAACTTTTTATGTAACAGCTCAAATCAAATTAAGTCTGGTTTCCGATAAAGTAGTAAAGCAGTACAAGTGTATTAGCTGGGAAAAGCACCAGCATTAGCATAGATACATCCAAACATTAATACAGAAAATTGTGATTCTATGGCTATCAGTGCATTAGCTTGATCATTTTCAAATATCTCCTCATGCCCAGTATTTGTAGTTAACGTCCAATACCTTGTGGACTAATCAGTACTTTACAAAATTGCAAGCATGTACATTGCCTGTAGGGGAGAGCGGGACACAACCTAACGCGTTCTTGTGTTTGCTATATCATTTAAAAAGTATCTGAGGACAGTATACACACATACAAATATACACATACACACACACACACACACATATATATATATATATATATATATAAAAGAAATCCACAGTCTGTTAAAGAGGCTGTATCAAAGGTGGAATTTTTTTTGACCACAGAGTATGTGTTTAATGAATTTTTGTATGAAAACGTCCCATTTATTCACTGTGTTAAAGCTATATGAGAGGACATTGACTTTTCCCATTTATGTAGTTTTCATGAAGATGAGCAATGTTTTTGTACTTGGGATTTGTTCTTAGGTAAGGACAGAATCTACACACACTCAATAGCCCAAAGGCGTGAACAGTTCTTTGGTTTAAGAACGTCATGAATCTGACGTAGACTTTGTCGTAGGACAAAAAACTTGATTTTTTACCTTAGGATGCCTACCTCAGGCACTGCCATTGCTATTTATGTATTGTTAAGTAATTCTACATAGCATGCATTTCCAAATGGTTGGTGCTAGATTGCATCAGTGGGCGGGGCACTCTGCTCCGTGTGACGAAAGCAATTGCATGCCTCTGACTACCTTAACTATTTCAAATGCCGAGCGTTATTCTGTGCTCCAGTTGTGGCTAATAGGGTAGGACATTCAAAGATGTGGGCTCACTTCACTAAATGTAATGATAATGCAGCTAAATGCAGTAATTGTAAAGTGGTATTTGCATGTAAAGGTGGTAACACTAGAAACCTTCTGACAACACTACATACATCTACATCATTCTGTAAATCTGAAGCAGTGCTGCTTGTTTGCTTTAGCAGAGCGGCTGCTGCACCTACATCTACAGTGCATCCTCCCGGTGTTGTGACAAATTGTGCTACCTTGTCAAAATGTCCTACCGTAGCGCATATTTATAAGTAGTACCTTACGTAAAACTCTAGGTAGGATTTGGGTAGCTTAAATCACCTTATCAAAAATGCTGCCAGGGTTAAAACTGCGAAGCTGAAGTGGGCTTTTATTTCCCAACTTCTTTGAATTTTCCCGTTCCAGTTATTCCATTTAAGCTGAAATGTAAAAATTTGAAAAAGAAGCTGGAAAAAAGGAAGACTTGCGTTAAAACTACATGTAGGATAGTTTGATAGTATAAATGTTCTCAGAACATGTTACCAGCATTAAAAGAGTAATTAGGATGTTTTTGTAGCCTACGTCAGCTCATCAGGGGGAAAGCAGTAATATTAAGCTGAGTCTATACTGAAATAAATTCGCTAGTGTTGGAAATTGTTTTATTTTGATGTATTTTCTAGTTTTCTGTTTGCTTTGCTTCAATTGTTATTCATTGTTAAACAGTATTAATGCTGAAGGGTTTAAGAAGCCACCTCCATTTCTGTTCTTGTGGTTTGAACAATTACACCGAATGGCCTTACAACACCCCCTAAGGAGGATGTGCTGGGGCAGAACACAGTAAGGTATTTACGACAGGATTCAAATGTCCCACGCTGTTCTGTATGACTCTATTGGGGGTGGGTGGTCAGTTGTATGGCATAAAAGCTGTGTGTCTGAGCTGCTGTTCAGATTGGGGTGACACTAAGGCAGGAATACTAAGCGCTCTCTTTTTAATAAAACCATCATTATTTCTGCAAACCCTGGTATCCTGAATCTCTTCCATGGCAAGATCAAAGATTTACAACAGTAGCCAATAGCTAGCATAGCATAAATCACTAACTGCTAGGTAGCCTAAGTTTGTGAGCTGTCTTGACAACCAAGGGTAACTACTTTTGTATTGTTTATGGCTGTTAATATTTTCAGCTGTAGGGAGATGACCACGTTCTTTTCACATCTTTTCATTTTGAATCTTTTTGAATCTTTCCCCGTCTTTTCATGTCATGTCTTTATTTTCTGCACCAGATTGTGGAGAGTAGTATCAATAAGAGTATTAATAAGTAACGGTATCAATATTGGTGTCAAAACCCTAAAAATACTCATTCCTACATTTTAACCTGCATTAGTTTGTGCCCTGCTCTTAACTACAGATAAATGCTTTGAAACTAGATTCTTTGCTGGACACACACTTTTGCACAGTACTGTACATTTAAGCTTACATTTTTTTATGGCTTTTTTGCCTCAGATGTTACATATTCTATGATAATGCAGTAAGCTGCATGCATACAGCTCTACTCATTGATCTAAACCCTATCCAGTGCACTTCTTGAATTTCCTTGTGGATGCGTGAGGGATTTATGGGTAAAAGACCCAGTTGACTGTTTCACTAATGGTGAAATTAACCTGCTGCTCAGGGCCATTGCTCTATTAAACTAGGTCAAGCTCTGTTTTTCCTCAACAGAAAATGATGAAAGACAACAACCTGGTTAGGCACCTGGATGCCTGTGAGACTATGGGCAATGCCACTGCCATCTGTTCTGACAAGACTGGCACGCTCACTATGAACCGCATGACCGTGGTGCAGGCCTACATAGGTGACACACACTACAAGACAGTACCAGAGCCTGAAGCCATCAACCCTGAGATTTTGGAGCTCATGGTGAACAGCATCTCCATCAACTCGGCATACACCACCAAGATTCTGGTGAGCTGAGTTTTGAATATCCTTAACTGTTTTGTTTCAATGACAAGGAATTGGGTGCTTTAGATATTCTTCCATCTATATTCCTGAACTTCCAAAGGTTTTAGATTCCCTGACCACTCGATTTTTTTTATTTTTATGCACATATTTTTCAGGGATATTTTTCAGTCATGTAATGTACACTTGCTCTTGTCCTCTGGCTAGAGAGCTATACAATTTCAGTATGTGGTTTATGGTTAACCTTTGAGAGGCTCAGGTGGTGAAGTGTTTGAAGCGATTATCAATAGGTCACCTTTTAGCATCCTAATGGGCACTATGCCCTTGAGGAAGACACTTGAGTACACGCCTCATTTAAATCCCTCTCTCCTTCCACTCCTCATTTCTAAGCTCTTTAATGTCTTAGTACAAGTGCAGTGATGATCCTTCTAACTAAATGACTTCCTCGACTCATCAGTACTATCAGAGACAAGACCCCATGCCCTTGACTCCTAGCCAGACTCATAATAGAGTTTGTGTACGCAACAGGACTCAATTATAGCTGTTTATCTCTGCATGATATTGATGTGAATGTTGTTGTTACCTTAATTGATTGGTGCCTTTTAAAATGTTTTCATTACTTTTGAGCCTTTTATTGCACTTTAACGGTTCGGTCCGTAACTGACCAGTGCATGTTGATTCTGTTCAGCCCCCAGAAAAGGAAGGTGGTCTACCGAGGCATGTGGGTAACAAGACAGAATGTGCCCTTCTTGGCCTGGTGCTGGAGCTGAAGAGAGACTACCAGCCCATTAGAGATGAGGTTCCTGAGGAGAAACTCTACAAGGTCTACACCTTCAACTCCTCACGCAAGAGCATGAGCACAGTTCTTAAAAACGCAGATGGCTCGGGATTCCGCATGTACAGCAAGGGCGCCTCTGAGATCATCCTTCGAAAGTATGACAATTGCACTTTTCTCCTCCTCTACTTCTAGATTCTTTCTCTCTTTCTTTTCAGTCTGCACTATTTCATTCCATTTGCTTGTCTCCACTACTAATTGACCCCTGCGGTATTGATTTTGTATCCTCTCCTATCCACATCTCCTGTGATTGTCTCTAAGTATAGTACTGGATAGCGGCCACTATTTGTTTTGAGTGCTGATTCTGAGCACTTAATGGGGTGTAATATTAAACCTTTTCTTTGCTACCTTGCCAGGTGTTCCCATATTTTGGATGCTGCAGGCCAGCCCCGCGTCTTCAAGCCCAAGGACCGGGATGAGATGGTGCGTAAAGTGATCGAGCCTATGGCCTGCGATGGCCTGAGGACCATCTGCATAGCCAAGAGGGATTTCACAGGCGATGAACCTAACTGGGACAATGAGGCCGACATCCTTACTGACCTGACCTGCATATGTGTGGTGGGCATTGAAGACCCTGTCCGTCCCGAGGTGAGAACATCATTGACTTTGTATGCTGCTGCTTGTATTAAACTGTGTGCCATGGTGCCCTTTGCATTCCTGTAGGTGTGATAGCATGTTGTGTGGTAGGGCCTGAAAATTTTGTCACCAATATTGATTTTAACCCTTTAAGTTCTAAGCGAAGAAGTGGTGGCCTAATCATATCTTGCTATTTTTTACCAGTAAGCTGTGCACCGTGCACTACTCTATGCAATCTTTATGTTTTTAAATCACCTGATGCAACACAAATGTTAAAGATGAAAATTGTAAGCAAAGGCAAAAAACACACCAAACTGGAATTTCCTCTTATTATTTCTTATAACAAAAACATACAGAAATAAATAATTCGAATGAATAAACTGAATATTCAGCCACTTTAAAAATTTGTGAGAGTCACTTGAAGTCTCTACTTCTCTCAGAAGTTGCACTGGAACATGCTCCTGCTATGCTCAACACATTCTACTGTATATGGCATATTGTTGGAAAACCCTGCTTCTCAAGTTCAGTTTGAGGTTTGTTGATATCTCAAGCGGTTGTAAAGTTATTTAACTTCAAACACAACATGACATGACTGTTGCTGGCACGATGTTTGTCCTTAATGAGTTGAGGAGCTAAAAAGTCTGCTAACTGATAATAAGGCCAACATAATTTTTATAATCAAAAACAGACCAGTAGGTTTAGTTAAACACTGCTTTACTGACTGACAGTTTTCAACTGTAAATTGTCAAACATTATTGTCAGTTCTTGCCTTGCCAATGTAGATAAATCCCTTTGACCTCAGTATCGGCTGATATTATTGAGTAATTGACATATCAGTCAGAATGGATATGAGGTTTCTGTGAATTTTCATGACAGAGTTTCGAGGACAGGACTTGACCTTCCGTTGACTGCTTGGTGTTCATTTAAGTTTAGTGAATGGCTTCACCGCCAAACCACTGAAGCATCTCTAAAAGAAATCCCAGTTGAGCTTGCTCTTCAAAACAGCATCTTCACCATCATTACACTAGTCCTGCTCCACTGAGCACAGCTTTTGTTAGTCACTAACTGCCTATAATGGAGGTGTAATAGCGGACTGATGGGCTTGGCGGTGGTCCTGAGAGAGAAGATTCTGTCTGCTTCAATCACCCTGTCCTTTACCAGACTTAACTGGCATCAGTTACAGCTGTCAGTCAGACCATCCCAAAACAATAAACCACAACTGTGTCCTATCACTTTACATGTAGCAATGTCCTTTGGTGAGCTGCTAGCTGTGATCATGCAATGACTGTGTGGATAGTCATTTAGTTTCACATTGTCAAGCAGCAGATGAAAGGGATGACTAGAATAGTTTCTTTGCCAGAGGGACTCTCTGAATCGATTCCCATGGAGGTGGTAGACTGCTTACATTGAAAGGTGGCTTTCATAAGGTTATTTCTGATGCATATGCTAATCAGAATGGAAATTTATATGTCCGCTCCTCTCAGGTTTTTTGACATGTGTAACTCTTCAATGGCAGGTGTGACTGATAATGAGACTGGAGCATTTTATGCTCCCCCTAGTAATGACAATATCTCCTTACCTTTAACAAACAGAAATGAACCACTGGTAGTCAAATAGACAGATGGCTATGAGATGTAATATAATGTTGTGATTAAAGGACCCATTTCATGAAAAAACAACTTGTCCTCATTTTATTCAAATATGAGTTTGATGTAACATGTAAACTTTGCTAAAGTTTTAAAATGTGCCATTCACTCTGTAGTCCATATGTGGAAACTAAAACTATTCAAGCTGGATTAGTTATACCAGAGGTTACCAAAGGTTCATTTGTAATGAATCTGACCGGTTCTTTGTGTAATTTACCCAGATTACCCCAGATAGCCTGAATCGGAACTTCATAGCCCTGACATTCACGTCACCGTTACAATTAAAATTGTGTCCAAACAAACAACAATCAGCTCCCAGTGCCTACCACATACAATAGTGTTAGTCTACTAAAGTGAGCTCATTAGGCTTATCAGATGCCACCCGACAAGACAGAAATCACATGCCTCGTAAGAGATACTTTCAAGATATTTTTTTCTTCCTTTCTTAATAGCCTAGTACCTAATGTTGTGGATTACAGTAGTCCTGTTTTGAGCTTGATAATAAAGGAAATACGCCAAGTCATTGTCCATATTGGTTAACCAATAGTCTCCCAGTTGCCAGAAAACAAAGGTACTGTTGTTTATTACCAGGTTTACGTTATTTACCAGGTTTACATTAATGTGAGGTTGAATACTATTACTGAGGGAGCTCAAGATTTGACAAATTGTAGAAGGTAATTAGCTCTGGAACTGCTACTTAGCAGACTTGTAAAAACTATAAACATTGCAGATTCATGCTGAAGTAAAACTCAAATTGCAGTATCTTACCAGGTAAAAGTAATCTAGTCTTAATGGGGCTTAAGCTGCAAAAACATTTTCAATTAATTGTTTGTGATGTCACAAAAAATGCCTTTACATTTATCCACTTTTTAGCCTACAGCCATTTAGCCCCATCCATTCACGTTGAAGTTATAAGTAGTGTTTCAGCTTGGACTTTTTTGTGTGAGGCACAGTATAGTACAGCCAATCAGAACAGAGATCATTTAAGCATGTAATTCTTAAAAGCACAATCACAAAAACACCTTCTTTAATTTTAATTCAATTTTCAGGGATAAAGAAAGATTAGAAATGGAGATTTAAAAATGAGTTGTGACCAGTTGTAGTACATAAATCCATACAAAAGTCCTAAAGGACAAAAAAGGCCTCAGGGAAAAATAAGGTTTACAAAAAATGTGTGACATGGTCCCTTTAAACAGAGAAATATATCATCTAGCCATTGGTTACAGCCCTTCTGGTCTAATACAATGTTGCCAGTCCTTCTTTGACATTGATCACTTTAGGAGGTCGTGCGACATCACTGAGACATCTCTGTCTGTGCAAATGCTGGGAGCTTTTTAATCATCTATAAATAAATGAGCTTATTGGTTCTAATGAGGGGTATGGTGTGATTCATCACAAGAGTGTGGATAATTACACAGGACTGCAGCCTCCACACACACAAACACTAACGCATACACACACCACCCTTTGGCCTCTCCATGTGTGGAGCGGCGTCGGCAGCCCTATGGCTGAATGAGCAGCACAGACTGGCATGGCATCATGCGGAGAGAGACTAAAATACCCTGGGCACCCGCTGCTCTGAGACCTGCTCTGGTACTCAGGAAGTCACCCTGAGCTACAGTGGCAGGATAACACACTGGTCTGAGACCAGTCAACTCCTTTGGAATCACACTGCTCTTCAGCATAGGTTAATAACCCTGCTCAACCATTATATCAGCCTACAGTCAAAAGATGAGATGATTACAAGTTGAAACCAACTTCCTAAGTTTACAGCCATCCATTTAGAAATCTGAACGCTGATGTGAAGACAAATCTCTTTCTAACTGCTGTTTCTTGCTTCAGCGTGCCTGGACTCATCGTTGCTATGATACACAGCTTGTGGAAATGGATCCTCGCACCATTTATTTTTAATCCATCACAGTTCAGTCAGTGCATCAACTCTGGTGCTAAAAGTTTAACGACTCATTTGTACTTTTCTCACACTGCATTTTGATGCAATAAATATTTCCTGAATTGATCAAACAGAGGTTCCCTCTTCCTTGCTAGGTTCCTGAGGCCATCGCCAAGTGTCAGAGGGCCGGTATCACTGTACGCATGGTTACCGGTGACAACATTAACACTGCGCGAGCCATTGCTACCAAGTGTGGCATCCTGTTGCCTGGAGAAGACTTTCTCTGCCTGGAGGGCAAAGAGTTCAACCAACAAATCCGCAATGACAAAGGAGAGGTGAGGAAGCTTAGTAATGATCTACCACAAAGCAGGGAACAGTGAAAGACAGTAGTGATTGCTGAAAGTCAGCTGATTCTTTGGAAGATAATCCAGATGATCATAGGTTGTAAACACTGATGTGTGTAAAGACTCCATTTTTAGTTTTATTTACTGTTTTTATTATACTGTTAATGGTGGCTCCTGTTTTTGAACTATTTGTGTTTTTACATGTCCTCCTGACCTCCAGGTGGAACAAGAGCGTCTTGATAAGGTTTGGCCCAAACTGCGTGTCCTGGCCCGTTCTTCTCCAACAGACAAGCACACTCTGGTAAAAGGTAAAAAAAAAACTCTCATCATTGTCTTGTGGTCAACAAGTCGCATAAAACTAACTCTGGGTCAGAGCAGGAGCAGAGCGACTCCGCTTTGTGGAGTGCAGAGTGGCTTTTCAGAAAGTCGAAGCATCAGTGTTCTTTCTCGCTCCAAAAACCACTCCAGTCTACCTGTCTACTGACTACCTCTGCATGACATGAGTGATGCAGCAGTGACTGCTACAGCTCACACATGACGCTCATTCACACTATTGCTTCAAGCCTATACCTTGCGACAAAAGCCTGTGTAGCATAGAATGATTTAACTAGTTTTTCTTTTAATAATGGCCATATATCATAGAATTGTGACATGAAGTGTGTGGTGTCTTGTTCTTACATTAAAGACATAAAATAAATATCATAAGAATGAATAATATGGGGTGGGAAATAGAAAACCTAGAGCAGAACTGGAGCAGAGCAATTACAGGATGCTTTGAACAAGGATTAGAAATGTCTGTCACTCCACTTCACTCACATGCTCTGCTCTGAATAGACTGTTTTGTTTGTAATCCAGTCACTTTTGCATCAGAAAATTTTAGGGAACCCAAAAGGTAACCCTAAGGTAAAAAGTACTTTCCTTTGGTGGGTGGGATCATACTCCACCCCCCAGAAAAATTTGGTTGAAAGAAATTACTGAAGGGACACAACTACCTTCATTTAGTGAACAGTTGGCAGTTTTAAGTTTTTTCCATGACAGCAGTCTTCCTTCTTGCATTACAATTAAGGCAACACTGTAGCTTTATTATTAAACTGCTAAACACTAGTATGACAACTGTTGAACAATATTATTACATACCCTACTACCAAATATTAAATTTAGAATATTTACCATGCAGTAGTGTACTGCTACCACTCATACACACAAAAATTACTCAGTCTCAATATTATGATGTCCAAGATTCATTAAAAATTGAGTTGTACTGGCAAGCTTTCAACAGAAAATAAGCCAAACTAGAAACACTAGCCTGTAGATATATCTGGTGTCATATTGGGCAGTATCATCTGAAAGATCAAAATGACTCGGCTAGGAATTTCACGTCATGCCCATAAATACAGTTTGAAGGGCATGGCCCACTATACCAACGGTCAGTTTCTAAGCACAAAACCACTCTTGGCTGAATATTTTTGAGTAGTGAATCACTCTCAACATTGCAGCAACACTGATGCAAGTAAGAGCTCTAGCAACCCTGCTATATTTAAATTACGGGTACTACCATGTCACTACCATGTCACTACTGTGCCATGTTAATGACCTCCACCCAAATTTTATCTGTTCAGCGATGGTCCTGTGGTCAAAATCAGACCAATGATGAATGGGGTCGAAGGTGGCAGACAAATTGTACAGATGGTCTACAATCTGCTAAAGTACATCTGTATTGGACATTATAAAGTGATTGTAAATACAATGTAGGTGTTTCTGTTTGTGTGGATGGTGAGTGTAGTCCATCAATAATAAATTGTGGTTGAAACTTCTTTAGGTTGTTACAAAGTGCTAATGTCTGCGTAAAGCTGCAGTGATTATATGTCAACCTGCTACATTTTCAAATAACACTCCCACGTATAAACTCAGTACTCCTAGTGACCTCAGAGGATTGCTAAGTGCTTTGTTTTTGTGTCCTTGAACACATAATCTGCTCATCCATGTGTTGCATCCATTTAGGTTAAAATTTTGTAACCCATTTAGTGCACCCTAGGGCTGTGACTGGGCTGTTGTCTTTCAGGCATCATTGACAGCACAGTGGGAGAGACCAGACAGGTGGTGGCAGTGACGGGAGATGGAACCAACGATGGACCTGCTCTCAAAAAGGCTGACGTTGGCTTCGCTATGGTAATGTCTGCCATCTTCTCACCTCACTTGTAGCAGTTTAAGATCTGGGTATTTAGGAATTTTCTTTACATGAAAGCAAATTGTATATTTGCTCATGTCAGCCCAAGGTTCTGTTTTCCAAAACTTACTACTCTGAATTATGTGATGTGATTTGAGTTCATTCAGAATGCTTATTCTGTAATTAAACAATCAATCAGTAGCTACTTTGTTGTAGTAAATCTGTTTATCACAGCTGACAGTTGCTATATTGGAGCCACTGCGCAGCTTATTTGATGAGAGTCAGGTTTGGCTGTGGATGTTGGTCGCTCTTGGTGATTGGCCAGCCCTGCGTGGCTTCAGTTTTAATCCTCACCCAATATCGGCACTGCAGCGCTGAGCCAGAACGCCCCAGGTCTTTTCAGAACCATGTGGTGTGGGCTCATTCGTTGAGCTGTGGGCGATGCACCGCTCCCCAAGCCCCTGCTCAGCACAGAGACGACCCCGCAGCTTTCAAGACGCCACGAGAATAAATTAGTACCCAGACAAATGCATTCATCCTGGACGAAGTTAATGACATTGGCATTTCTCAGCAAGATGTTTGCCATCTGATTCGAAAATAACCATATGCGAGGAGGGACTATATCAACAACACGCTCCTCTGCAATTATGATAACGGTGGATAAAAGGGCTTGAGGTTAGATCGAGAAAGGCAACAATTGTCTGACCTTGTTGATGCATTCCTTTTATCGAATGAATTCTCATTATGTGCAATAAATTGTTAAGGAAGAAGAGAGGCCGTGGCGAAGAACACAATTAAGCCATTGTTTTTAAATGAAAGGGAGCTTTTTTACCCAAGCATTATTCTGCCATTGTAACATTTTGTTGCAGTGTTTGTTGTGTCCTAAACCAAAAGAAGCATAATTATAAATGAAGCCTAGTTTTGCCTTTCATGGGATTTCTGTTAAGACCCTTTTAGGGTCTCTTAGTCTTAAGAGAGTACTTGAACCCCACATAGTCATGTTATAGATTAGCCTAAGCTTACCAAGATCCATTGTATCCGTTTGCAGTATGGTAAAATTATACCAAGGGGGACTTTACACATTCCTGTAAAGATTAACCAGACAAATAACATGCATTGCAGTTAGTTACATTGTTGTGACCTGTCAATACCAAAAAAAACTAAAAAGCAATGTTATGTGACACCAATGCCAGTATACTGGTATAGATAATATATCGGCCAATGCTACTACAAGACATGGCAAAGGAAGCCTCTGACTTCAGTCACAAATTTCAGCAGCAGAGAATAGCTGAAGTTTAATGAGATCCATTTGATCATTTTGCAGTGTAGACAGCGAAGTAATGATATCCAATTTTTGCTTCCTTTTCCTCCCACAGGGCATTGCTGGGACAGATGTAGCTAAGGAAGCCTCTGATATCATCCTGACTGACGACAACTTCACCAGCATTGTGAAAGCTGTGATGTGGGGCCGTAATGTGTATGACAGCATCTCCAAGTTTCTGCAGTTTCAGCTTACCGTCAATGTGGTGGCCGTCATTGTTGCTTTCACTGGGGCCTGCATCACACAGGTACAACAGGCATTCGACTGGCTCAAGCATGACTCAAACTGTGTGTTAGTATCTTGGCTATGTCAGATGAGTCATTGTTATGGGCTGTAATTGACCCTTGTGAGCTAATGAGAAGAAAAAATGAATATATGGCTCAGTATCTAAAAGACTCCGTACCAGAGAGGAGATGAGACAGGCCAAAAAAGAAGCCACTTCCTCAGATTTTTATCCAAAACACTCAGTGTCCCCATAGCCTCGATACCAAACTGCTGCTAATAAATTTCTGAGGTATTGTGTCCCTACTTAGCGTAACCTAGTTAAATTAATGATGGCAATGGAGTAATGGAATTGGCTAACAGTCAGACTGTCTGGCTTCTCTGGCCCATGGCCTCCTGAACCCTCTGTTTTGTTGAGTCTAGCTTGCTAATTAGTGGACCAGGAAACTCCATTTTCTTGTCTGTTTTGTAGGACTCTCCACTAAAAGCAGTGCAGATGCTCTGGGTGAATCTGATTATGGACACGCTGGCCTCCCTGGCTCTGGCTACTGAGCCACCCACCGAGGCTTTGCTCTTGCGCAAACCCTATGGCCGAGACAAGCCTCTAATTTCCAGAACCATGATGAAGAACATTCTGGGCCATGCCGTCTACCAGCTAGTGGTCACATTTACTTTGCTGTTTGCTGGTAAGGCTTCATGAAGATGTTGCAATGGAAATGATTATTGTATTGACTTTGTGGCACTCCTAGTGAGCTGGAATACTGGGTGGTGTAGGTGTAATGCTTCTCTGGTTCAGCTCATTAGCTAATTATAAAGCCTTTCACGAATTCAGGTTTCTTGGAGCTGGGACAGAATTAACAGTAGTTCAGCAAAAAAACTGATTTACATCAATTTTACCTTACCCCAAATGTAGCTGTTTGGTGTCTGAAGTTTACTTCCCTAGTTTTGCAGTGGACCTATGAGGCTGATGTAGGTAACAAATAATGGAAGCTTATAGGTCACTAATTAGCATAATTGCAACCTGCATGCCCGAATCATCTCACACATACCTCAAACCCTATTAATTTGTTGAATATACTAAATTGCTCAATTGCTTGTGTGGTTTTGGACACTGTACAACATATCTGTAAGGCACAGTGGACCAAAAATGGACCCATTAGACATGAAAGAAAGTACATAGCACAGCTGAAGACAGTAATAGCAGCCCTCTTAAAGCTTTAAATCTGTATGATCAGTAGTATGCCGTACAGCATCGGAAATTAAGGCAATTTAAAGTAAAGATGTGAACTTCAGACACTAAAAATATCTTGGCTGATTGACTACATTTGGAGTAAAAAGAAGATTATGTGAATTAGATTTTTTGCCATACTAGTTATTATAAATAACTTTCAATGGCTTTTATTGAGGCATAGTGATGTCTTCATTACCTTTGGTGAGGTTACCTTTTTGTGTGTGTTTGTGTGTGTGTGTGTATAGTGATATTTGTTCCTTTTGAGAAAACCTTGCTTTTACAACCCTGGCAATAGATTGTCCTTCGCCTGTTGTAATTAATAAATGATTTGGAGCAGAAGAAAATGAACACTCAGCATAGCTGTGAATTCCTCTCAGACTAGTTTGTTGACATGGCCGACCTCACAGAGCGATACGATACCACGTTCCTCTGAAAGTGCTGGGCCATTGCTATTAGCAGAGCTCTTGAGAGAGACTGCTGCCAATGTTCCCACACTGTCTATACTGCTGCCAGCTCATTCAATAGGTCTAAGAGTATCTCATGCTTAGATTTTGTAAGCTCACTGAGCTACTGATAGCACCAGCTTGCTTTAAGAGGAGTAGTATGCCAGGGGATTAAGGAGTTGCCATGTAGGTTGTAACTGTGTCTTACAGCTCTTGTGTATAGTTGTCACTTTAGAGATTTCCATTGTAGCCAGTAATGGAATACATTTTTAAGAGAACTTTTGGGGAATGTCATTTCTTTATCTAAAGACAGTCTAAATGTTTGTGAAAGTTCTTGTTAGAAATGTTTATTTCCATGATATATTACTCTGTCAGAACACTATATATAACCCAGTTTCCAAAAAAGTTGGGACGCTGTGCAAAATGTAAATAATTTTAACAAATGCAATTATGTGCAGATCATTTAAACACTATATTTATTAAAAGTAGTACAAAAACATATCAAATGTTGAAACTGAGAAATTTTGTTGTTTTTTGAAAAATGAATGACCATTTTGAATTTGATGCCAGCAATGCGTCTCAAAAGTTGGGACAGGGGCATGTTTACCACTTTGTTGCATCACTTGTTTTAACAACACACTGTAAGTGTTTGGGAAGTGAAAAGACCGATTGCTGTAGTTTTGAACGTGTAATGTTTTCCCATTCTTGCTTAGTATAGGATTAGCTGCGCAACAGTTCGGGGTCTCTTTTGCTGCATTTTTTTATTTCATAATTTCATTTAAACAAATGCTTTCGCTGAGTTACGGTTCTGGATTACAAGCAGGCCAGTTTAGCACCTGGACTTCTTACAACAGATCCATGCTGTTGTAATAGGTGCAGAGTGTGGTTTGGCATTGTCTTGCTGAAATAAGCAAGGCTTTCACTAAAAAGGATGTCGTCTGGATGGCAGCATATGTTGCTCCAAAACCTGTGGCATTAATAATGCCTTCACAGATACGGAAGCCACCCATACCATGTGAACTCATTTACGTCCATACTGTCATGGATGCTGGCTTTTGAACTGTGTGCTGGTAACAAGCCAGAGATGGTTCCTCTCCATTTTAGCCCAAAGGACGCAGCAGATTTCCAAAAACAATTTAAAATTTGATTCGTTGGACCACAGGCCAATTTTCCACTTCATCTCAGTCCATCTTAAATCAGCTCTGGTCCTGAGAAGGCAGTGACGTTTCTGGATCCTGTTTATATAATATTTCTTTTTTGCATGGCAGAGTTTTAACTTGCATTTGTGGATGCAGCGACAAACTGTGTTCGCAGACAGTGGTTTTTGGAAGTGTTTCTGAGCCCATGCAGAGATTTCAACTACTCTGTTTTTAATGCAGTGCTGCCTGAGGGCCCAAAGATCATGGCGATCCAATATTGGCTTTCGGCAACCCTTGCATACAGAGATGTCTCTGAACCTTTTAATGATATTACGTACTGTAGAGGATGACATCCTTAAGTTCTTTGCTGTTTTACATTGAGAAATGTGTTTGCCTGAGCAGTCTTTCACAGAGTGGTGAACCCCTCCCCATCTTTATGTCTGAAAGACTCAGCCTCTCTGGGATGCTCTTTTTATACTCAGTCACGTTACTGACCTGTTGCCTTTACTAATTAACCTATTTAGTTGGGAGATGTTCCCCCAGGTATTTTTTTATAACATAACACAACTTTACTAGTCTTTTGTTGCCCTATCCCAACTTTTTTGAAATGTGTTGCTGGCATCAAATTCAAAATGGACATATATTTTTCAAAAAACAGTAACAGTTTCAAAATTTGATGTGTTGTGTTTGTACTATTTGCACACCGTTGTATTCAGTTTTATTAACATTTTGCACAGCATCCAAACCTTTTTCGGAAATGGGGTTGTATATAAGAAATAATGCCTTATCATATATATCTCAAATTGTATTTTTTAATGCCACTTCTCTGTAGGGGAAAAGTTCTTCAACATTGACAGTGGGCGTAACGCTCCTCTCCATGCTCCCCCATCTGAACACTACACCATCATCTTCAACGTCTTCGTCATGATGCAGCTCTTCAATGAGATTAATGCCCGCAAAATTCACGGGGAGAGAAATGTCTTTGATGGCGTCTACCGTAACCCCATCTTCTGCAGCGTTGTCCTAGGAACCTTTGCCCTACAGGCAAGGCACATTTTTAGTATCTTACAGTCTAGCTATCAAGTCATTTTGAAACACTGGTAGAGGAAATACGTCTCAATTACAAAATTTGATTATGCTTAAAATTACAGTTAGAGACTTATTATTAGAGTTCAAGTATGTTTTCATAGTATATAGTGTATATATCATGTATCTTAACACGCACAGCTGTAACCCCTATAATGAGCAAAATAGGTTTTGATTATACAGGTTTTATTTCATAAACAATATAGGTCCAATAAGCCATTTACTCCAGGGGTATCCAATCTATTCTGCAGATGGCAAGTAAGATTAGACATCTCTGATTCTAAATGTAATAGGTTTCTTCAAGTGACAGATGATTTTAACATTCAGAGCTTTGTCTGTGGGTGATAAGACAGTCACATGCATCTTTAGCGCTTTAGAAAATTCAGTGTCAGGACTGTCACTTTGTTCTTTTTGAAGTTTCCTGATTGTCGCTTTAATGACTGTGGTAGAATTGCAGGGTAGAAGAAGCTCATCTACAGAGCTGGACTCATTTGTTATTACGTTCTCTTTTCAGATCATCATCGTGCAGTTTGGAGGGAAGCCTTTCTCTTGCACAGCTCTAACCCTGGATCAGTGGCTGTGGTGCATTTTCATTGGTGTTGGGGAGCTGCTTTGGGGCCAGGTACGGCAAAAGGCTCACATTGTGCGCCGTGCGCTTTAATAAGCAGGAATGCTTTTGTTTGCGCAGCGTGCTCTTTCATCTCTCCCACTGAACAGAATTCTAAAAGCCCTGCTAGTTGGAATAAAGCTGCAAGCAACGCCTAGACTCGTAGGTGTTTTTTGCGTTGAAAGATCCCATCTGCGGATGACAAAGTGTGAAAGAATAGTGAGAGAAAGATGGAAAAGAGAGAAAAAGAGAGAGAGCACCGCACTGCTCCGTATGTGATGGTATAATGAAAACATCATGGCATAACGGGTAGACGTGGGTGATGTTCAACATCTCCTAACACCCAATGGCGAGGGTGTAGGTGGGGGGTGAAGCTGTGTGTGAATTCAAACCTGTGGGAGGGAAGGAAGGAGGAAGGGGTGGAGGGAGGAGGCAGATAGTGAAGGTTGCTGAGCAGTGAGCACTGCCTGGGAACGGTTGCCACCACCAAGAGCTTACATCCAGAGAGAAGACAGTGCATGGCGGCATAATGAGACATGAAAGATCCATAGCCCACAATTACCCAACCTCGTGGGAGAATTTGAAACTCAGCACGCTACTCCCACTGCACCTTCTCTGTGTCTTAGACTAGGATGTAACAATACCTTATGACACAATACATTGCAATGCAAAAATGTGGCCACACACAGTTTGGAGATGGGCGATATCAGCTGCATTCTCTTTAATGCAGTGTATACAGTCAAATGCTATTGATCTGTCCATGCTCTGTCCACTGATGCATTCTTTCATAGCAATCACTTCTAGGTTAGACAAGCTCTAAAGAACATTTTCAAAATTCCATTCAATCCAGTATTGTCCTGCAGGTTTTTGTCAAAATAGGGAAATGTAGAGATCCTTATTATTTTCAAATGTTTTTTATTTTGTACGTAGCCATGGAAGGGCACTGTAAAGATCGATTGGGTGTAGTTTTTTTGTCATGTAATCAAGCTATAGGTAATGTAGCATAGCATTTTAAAGAAGATCATAACATTTTTCTTCTCTGTTGTGACATGTTTCCTGAGTGATGCACAGTATTTAGGACGATCTCTGAGCTATTGTATTTGCTCCATGATAGGTGGGATTAGTGAGAAAAAAGTATTTGAAAATCAGAAGACATTTTAGAGGCTGGCAAAAGCCATTTCACTCTGCCTTACAGATATGTTGTACAGCCATTTCAGGTGCTCATTATGACCAGGGACATGTCTCAACAAGGAAAAAAGATCAATTTAATTTCAGATTGACTATAAACTGAAAACTTAACATCATGTAGTGAATTTACTCTAACTTAAATTCATTAAGTTGAATGGGATTTTTTGATTCTGTAAATGTTGTCCAAAAAATGGATTTGTCATGCAAGGATAGTGAATTTTCATTGTTTGAACACCAAAAGTCACAATAACCCCACACCAGTATGTATAACATCATGAGCTGAGACATTGAGACACTGGATTCCTTTGTTCATCTGAGTTTAGCAAGGATACAAAGACTAACACTAAAGACTGGAGCATGCCAGCTGCACACTCAGTATAATGAAGTTGCATCATGCACACGTCACTTCCCCTCTGGTTTCTTTTGGTATATGTGCATGTGTGCATAAGTGTGTTGCCTCCCAGTCCCACCGCTCTGCATTTTAACATGTATCCTAAGGTGAACAGCAGTACATTTCAGAGGCTACATGAAAGGTTGTTTCTGACTTGTCAAGCTGCCACTGGCATCAACAGCAATGACACCCACAGAAGCTCTCCAGAAATATTCAGTTATTTCAGTGTCATCACACAGCCTGCAGAAAGCTGTCAGATTTGCTTGTTATTTTTAAGTCCCCCCTGCCATTCTATTGACTGTTGAATTCTCGATTTGTGGGATGCTTCGTTAGTTAGTTTGTTCGAACAATATCCGAATAGGGCAAAGTAATCCGATTTTTCCAAATCCAATTTATTCGACCTAGGAATATTTACTTGGGTCAAATTGTCCTGCATATAGACAGCCTTTCAATGACTGTGTTTCATCCTTTCTGCAAATGAACACTTAGAAATGAATTGAATAAATTGCACACTTGAACCTTATCCCAGTGTTGCACACAAAGTAGTGTGGAAAACAATGTTTGATTAGATTTTTGTATAAAAAGGACCTTTTTGTCCAAATCAAAAGACTTTTTTCTGAAAAAAGGGTTTATTTAAGGATATGTGTCATGATTGCAAAAATGGACATTCCAGCAAGAACTGGAACAAAACGATCAGCATGAAATTAAGTGATAATTTAAGATAATTTCAAATAGTTTGTAGTTGTGTACCCGGCGTCTGCATACTAAGTGCACTTCATGTCTACATACTAAGTGTATTTGACCAATAAAGTGTAGTGACTTGTCCCAAAGCCAGTCTTCATCCCTTAAAGTACCACAAGTGTGAACAGCCACTGTCATAGGATGCCACCTTTGCCACAAGTTTATGAATTTCTTCCCTGCTAGATCTGCCCCAGTCAACTGTAAGTGCTATTTTTGGAAGGGGAAGCATCTAGAAGCAAAAACAGCTCAGGCATAAAGCGGTAGACCATGCAATGCAGAGTTTGTGTGCTGAAGAAAAAACATATGTCCTCTGTTGCGTCACTGCATTGTTCAAACTGTCTCTGGAATCAACATCAGCACAAGAACTGTGCATCGAGAGCTTCATGATATGGGTCTTCACGGCTGAGCAGCTGCACACAAGCCTAAGCCTTGTCTAGCAAGCTCATACAGGTGCCATGGTCAGGTGTCCATGTACTTTTGGCCATAAAGTATATGTCCCACTTTTTCATTAACCACTGCCTGTCCTACAAAGCTACATTGCAAATACATACATGTACATATGGCACCCATTTGTACTTCTCTTCTTTTCAGTTCATCTCAGCCATCCCCACGCACCGCCTCAAGTTCCTGAAGGAGGCCGGTCATGGTATCACAAAGGAGGAGATTCAGCAGGAGGAGCAGACAGAGGACGTGGATGAGATTGACCATGCTGAAATGGAGCTGCGTCGGGGCCAGATTCTGTGGTTCCGAGGCCTCAACCGCATCCAGACTCAGGTAGGGTGCTCGTCCATGGGAAATCCCTGTGGGCCTCTCTCTGAAGTCCCTGCTGTAACTCTCTCGTCCAGTGCGAGCCTTCGGGCGAGGAGGCAAGCACTGCTGAAAAAAAATACAGGAAGAAGATGATGGTGCTGATTAATTTTTTCTTTCAAATCTACATGTAGATCTTACTCCTCAGGTGCAGACATTGTAGATTTGACCAGGCTACTTTCCCCTTTTGATGAATGAACATGTTTTGTTTTTTATGCATAGTTTATGGAATGCCATACCACACGCATTTTGTCTGCTTGTGATGTCAGATCTTATAAGCACTCAACCATCTTTTTGAGTCAAATATGTGTTTTTAAGAATAGTTTGGAAAACTGTAAAATCATATCCTCAGATCAAGGAACACACTTTGGTGAGCCTGAAGATTAGTGTTGCAGTAGCCGTTCAATTGTAAGAAAATGGTCTAAAGTTGTAATTAACAGTGGAAAAGACGAGCTGTCTCCATGCAGGGTGTATTTTCCAGGTTAAAGCAGGACACTTCGTTCTGTACGCGGGTATAGAAAGTAAGTAACATTGCTGTTTACCTGGAGGACCATGAGCCTTGTTTCTCCAGTGATCCCATTCATGGAAACTTGCAGACTCCCTTAAGACTGAGCACTGCTGAGCAGTAGCCTGTTGCCTGTCCCAGCGCTCCAGAGAAAGCAACTGGACGCCCTGGGAGGTGACGCACATTGTGTCCTCCATGGGGACAAATTCAACTCTGCGCCTCAATTGGATTCCAGAGCGTTCAAACCTCTGGAGACCCAAAAAGGAAGCCAAAGCCTGTTGAGACTCTCTCACTAGGTGGTAGAGGTTGCACCTGCTCTATTTACTTTCTCTGAAATACCTTGATTGCAAAATTGCAGTATAGAGATAGTAGAGGTGTTGTGATACGCTTTGTCTAGAAAATACCTGCTGAGAGTCGAATACTGCTCAATTTAATGCCCTAAAAATATTTGTCATGTCAGACATACAGACATAAATTGGAATGATGCCCACTGCTTTATTAAAAACATTAAAAACATGTGATGATATTCCTAAAAGACACAAATAACCACATAAGGTAGAATAGAATATTGCACCACAACCGAAACTGTTAACAATTTTTGTGTACTTATTAGTTATTATTATTAGTCTATGTCTGTAAGTTATAATTATTAGTCTATTAGTTATGTTTTCATCTGGGACTCTGGTCTCGTTTAGACAATTGGACTTGCAAAATGAATGCTGGCTTTTTTTTTACTTATACTGTGGTGCAATACACAGGTCACATCATATGGTGGTGTTTGTGTATCATTACACCCGTAGAAGGTTTTTTAACATTTTTTTCTTTCGAAAGGAGTTTTGTAGGAGGATCTCCTTTCGGTCTCCATTTTCATCACACTGCCAAAAAGAGAAGGAATTCCCAACACTGAGTTGGTTTTTGAGTTCATGGACTTTATTTATCTGTATTCTCCAGGATTGTGCCTTTTTATCTGTGTGTCTTGTGGGTGTGGATTGGAGGAAGGCATACTGGGCCCTTTTGGAAGATTCTTTATAGAGTGCAGTGGTAGGGGCGTCATACCGCCTACTGTGCGTGGATGTGTTCTGTGTGAATGTCTACAGGCAACATGTTTCTCCCTTTGGGCTTCATTAGATTTTCTCTCCGCCACTGAAAACAGAGAGCTTATCAGAGTTTAACGCTGATCTGGTTCTGAAGAGATGCTCTGTTTTTGCTGCAGAATTGTAATTTCACCTACGGTAGTGAATCAGGTCATGAGGAGTTCATGCGTTTAAGCACTATGTCTGTCTGTCTGTCTCTCTCTCTCTCTCTCTCTCTCTCTCTCTCTCTCTCTCTCTCGTCACCAACCGCTCTTAGTTAAGTTCAAGGTTGTTTTGTTATAGGGATGTGCTTGGGTATTCGAGTACTCTGTTAACTGTTTAAGGTGCCAGTATTTGAGTACTGATATTACTATCCGGTTATTCATTGTTTCATTACAGGAAGAATACAGGAAATATACAGACCAACATTTTATGTTTTAACAGTACTGAAAAATGTAGTTTGCTCATATTTGTGATTAAGTATGTTCATTATGGTATACTTTGCTGTGAGTGTGTTGCCAATGGTGCATTGTTGAAGATATGACTGAAAAGGCAGCAATAGCGTGGCTTTATAGCTAACGTGTAAATAAGATACTCTAGCTGATGCTAGCTAGGTCCAGAAACAGCGAAAATATATTTCTCTGATAAACTAATATATTATATAAGAAGATGATGAGTCCTCGTTAGCATCCAATGTTGTGCCGGTTTGCTATTCATTAGCTCGGGGCTAATCATTCATCAGTGTTGGAATCTACTGATTTCCCATAGCTGCTTTTGAATAATAAAACATGTTTTCAAATGTATTCTTCTGTGTTCTGCAAATTGCTATCTGTCTGCCTTTTTTTGGCCTGTTGGATTTGGGAACAGTATTCAGGTACAAACAGAAATGTGACATAAATTATTCAAATAGATAATTTGGATGTCATATACATGCACTTGCTCGAAGACATTTATTGTGTGTGAAGCAGTTCTTTCTGAAGTTGCTACTAAAACTCATACATATATATGACTCTTGCAAAATGAATGAAATTTATATTAACTGTAGTTTTTTTTGTAGAATAACACTGCTTTGCCTTTTCATAGGGATCAAAATTTCTAGTTTCACTAATTCATTTCTCTAGCTAGTCAGTGTCTATATGTGAAAAGTGAATGGTCGCGCTGACTGATTGTAAAGTTCTTAATAAATATGTGTCTTATAATTTGCTGTTTAAAAATGTACCATTTATGAATCTGTGCTGTTCGTGACTGTGATGGCTGACTTGTTTGAACTGAGTAATTGGAGCAGGCAGTGATGTCGAGAGACGATGGATAGTTTTTTAACGCGTGTCATCTGCCCTGGATTTGGTTCTGTCTCCATGCTGTTCCAGATCCACTTCCTGTCCCTGATCCCCTCCCTAACATCCTGTCCCTCTTCCCCTTTGAGCTCTGATTGAGGAAAGGATGGAGATTTTTTTCTCTCTCTCTCTTTCTCTCTCTCTCTCTCTCTCTCTCTCACTCCGCTCTCTCCCCCCCTCCAGTTGACCGCAAAAATGCTGCTCCACTAATTAGCTCTTTATCTCCCCCTCCCTTTCCTGTCCCACCACCCCACTTTTTAATCCTCTTGGATTTCTATTTTTTTATCGGCCACGCATGGTTAGCGGTACACAATGGAGGAATTAATTGGCACAAGCGTGATTCGCACCAAATTCATCAATGTCTTGTAGAACCTCTTTTTTGTTGCCTCTTTGTGGTCCTCGTTTCTCTTTTTTCTCCAAAAGCCCCTTCAGCCTTTCCTTTGCCCTAAAAAAAAATCGTTCCGTCAAAAACTTAAAAACTTTCCTTCCCTTTCATCCCTCTCTTCTACTCCTCCTCCTCTGTGGCTGGGCTTGAAACTAATTTTTAGAAGGATTTTCATTTTCTCTTTCTGTAATAACAAATGTGTCTGCTCTAACCAGTTGATTCTTCTGCCTCTTTGCTGTCTCTTATCTGTCTTTCATTCTCTCCTTTGTCCTGGCCTTTTCCCTCTTTCCTTTGCAGATGGACGTGGTTTATACATTCCAGTCGGGCCAAACGGCGGTCCCCGGTGCCCTACGCCGCCAGCCCTCGGTGGTCAGCCAGCACAACGACGCAAAAACTGTTTCTAGCCCCAACCCATGTAGGGATTTCCTCTTCCTCGCTGTCCGCCAATTCTGCTGCAGCCAGCGGGCCGTCCGCCCCTGCTTCCTCCTCTACTGCAGGCAGTGAGTGCCATATAACACCCGGCAAGCTAACAGCAACACTGCTGCTGCGCCTGCTGCTAATTCCGCTGCATGAGAACTGCGGCAATTTTCTGCCAAAGCAATATAACCATCTTCTTTCTCACCTCTCTCTCACTGTTTCACACGGCCTCTGTCTCTCCGTTATGGAAGATTACCAAAAAGCTCCCTCCCTTTTTTTTGTTTATTGTTGAAGTTGGGCTTATCTGTGGAATTTGGTTTTGTCCTTCGATTGTTGACTTGAAAGTGCATGTTTGGGCAGGGAGATTTTGCAGCCTTCCTGTGCCATCCAGCAATTTAATGTGGCAACTGGGTAGACCACTGTTTTCTTTTAGACCAATTGATCTGCAGAACTTCCTCTCATTAACACAGAAAAGATGTTTTCTGAGACACTGTAATGCTTTTTAAGCGTTTTTCCTTCCGATAACAATTCCAATATCTGAACTCCAGGTATCTACCCATACCAGAGTATAAGAATGATACAAGCAATCTTTTAAGGCGATCATGTTTGTGGTAGCAATGTACATGAAAAATATTAACATTAAAAAACAATAATAGTTAATTTACCAGCATGGTAGAATTGCTCTAGAATGCCTATTAAATTGAACTGTTATAGTTTTATAACAACCATGACTAAGAAGCAGTATTAAATGTGGGGCAGTTACATCTGACTGATTTCTGAGACATTTAACCAGGTCAGTATCATTGCCAAAACTGATCCAATGTATTGAATCACTAGTATTAACATATGTTGTCGCTGTCATATCAAACTAGCTTAGATTTTCCATGTAAGCAACAGTGTCCTTCAAAACTACAGGTCTTTGCAGAACCCCACTGCTTAACTTGTTGAGATTATACTGTGTGCATCTAAGAGTTCTCTCACAGGGACTACTTTTATACCAAGAACCTTTTTTTATGAATCAAGCCCAGTAGCTGGCAGACTTTGAAAAACCTTTGATATATGTTGAGAAACAAGTAGCTGTGTTAAGTTTTCTCAAGCTCACTGTAGGCATACCAAGAGATGCAGTAATAATATTCATTTCACCAGGTCTGAAACCTGACTTAAAAATCTAGCTCTAGAACTAAATACAGAATGCTTCTGTAATTCTGTCACTTGTATTTGAATTGTGTTTCAAATGTGAAGCACTGTGAAGAACATCATTACACAGCATGATACACAGAGCCCGTAGGGAACACATTTGATTGACAATAGGTAAACGTGAAAGACCGAGGAGATCAGTGAACATTTTGAAACACATATTTAACAATAAATAGAAATATATAATATGTCTGTAACAAAATCCATAAAAAACCTACGAATACAGTTAATTATGTTTGAAAACAGCCAAAAATATCCTTCTTTCCATGTTGGATAAACATCTAGGAATCTTTAATCTTGATTGGTCAGCCATGGATGACATATGCCGCATTTTGAGGGCGCTCACTACAAAAGTTGAGGGTTAAAAAAAACACAAAGTGCATTGACCAAGCAATAGTAGTGCTTTTCAGTTGCCTTACATGTTGCTCCATAGACAATTAAAAGAAGCATGTTGCAAGGGTTTGGGAAAGGTGTCATCTGCATGCCCTTATCCTCATTTCTTTTTCTCTCTCTCGCTTTCTCTCTTTCTCTTTCTCACTCTCTCACTCACAGTCTCTCTGCACTTGCCTTTCTGCGTAAACCAGTGCATTGTGCTTGACTTGAATATGACTCTTGACTTAAATATGGCTCTAACACTGTCTACATGCATTAGCCCTTGTGAGAGTCATACAAATGAAACTTCCCAAAGTTTGCACTTTAAACAAGTCAGGAATTCTTTGGAATGCTTGAATTACATCCTTTGGCTTCTTTTCTTTCTCCTCTTTCTCCCCACATTTATGATTGAAAAAGGTAGAAGCAGATTAGCGTCCATTCCCCGGGGGATCAGAGTTACTCTAAGCGTTATCTAATTAAGGGGTTTCACAAGGGTTAATAGCTGAGGGCTGGTTAAGTATGTTTTTTTTTTTTTCTTCTTCTTCTTTATAACAGCAAACCCCTCCCCATTTCCAGACTGCTTGCATATCAACAGACTACGTGTGTACTTGAGTGTGTGTGCATTTGAGCGTATATATGTCTTCATGTGTGTTCTTTTATATACTTTATAATTGGTCCTCAGTGCTTACAGTTTCCTTACTTGCTTTCTGCAAGGAAACCTAGAGCTAGGGCTGCACAATATGGACAAAATGCCATGTTCTGATTGTATTTGTATTGTACATATTGCAGTTGCATTATTTAAAAATAAATTACATATATTCATTTCAAATTATACTATTAGCACAAGTCTTTGGTATGTCCCCCTTCTGTTTTAATGACAGTGTGTAAAAGCCTCTGATGAGTAGATAAAATCCACAAAAATCAACTAAAGAAGATTGAAAAATAGACTGAAGACTGAAGAAGACTCAAAAATATCTGACCTTTTCGTACAAACGGCATTTTGCATGGCCTCGAAATGCATCCTAAGCATTTATTCTTCATTCTTACAACAATCCTTTTTTACAGGGAGAAAGAAATATTCTAGGTCAAAATACAAATTTAAGTAAATTTGTGCCAAATACTAAGAAATTCTAAAATTCAATTCAATATTTTAAAGATTTTTTTCTTCTTTCTTACATTTTTATGCTGATGATATAATTTGAAATAAAAAAAACAGAAAGCAAAAGAGAAGAATTCCAGTAGTGGTCTCATTTGGTTAAACATCTTCTGTAGCACTTGTTCAACCACACACTGTGTGCTATGAAAGCACACATTTGTGGGCAGAGCAAGGATAGGGCAAGAACCATGAGAATTCCTCACTGCTCACAGCACTCTTTGACAACTTATTTGCATATTGTAGGCCTTGGCAGTATCACTACTGCATAGCCAGTATAGCAATAACGATTAAAAAAATGATATAACGTGCAGCCCTAGTTACTGTACCAAGGTACTGATCATAAGGGTTAAAAGGGATAACCTAGAGGTCCTTAAACTGGCAGCATAACGGTCAGTGTGGTTAGAATCCCACACATGCTTAAAGGAAACGATAAAAGGCCCTCACTGCCCTGAACCAGGTTGTGCTAAGCTGGACAGTGCAATAATTGGCCCCGTTCCTCTCTAGCGGTCGCTGACCTTTCCCTGTCCCAAGAGGGCGAGGCGTCTCCAAGGTGATGAAGCGTTGCCTTTCTCCCTTGACCTGCACCGCACCACTGTCTGCCCAGCAACAGAGTCTAGAGAGAGGGAGAGAATGAGGGAAAGAGAGAGATGCCCACCTTCCCAGTGCTCCATCTCTCCTCTCACTTTCTCTCCACTGCTGAGAGAGCAGACGCTACATCTAACACATTTCCTCATTCCCTTGCTCGCTCTTTCTCTCTATCTCTCTCTTCCTCTCTGTCTTGCTCTCTCTTTCTACCTCGCTCTCTGTCTCATTCTCACTCTTTCTCTCTGCTAAACAGGCAGAGTCTCTCTCTCTCTGTCTCTCATTCACTCTTTTTTTTAAACAAGCAGGGCCTCTCTCTTTCTCTCTCTCTCTCTCTCTCGTGCACACTCTCTCTCTTTCTCTCTTGCACGTCTCTCTTATACCATTTTGTACCATCCATCTTTCAGACTCTCTTTTCCCTTCTTTCTCTCTCTCTTTTTTTCTTCGGCTTCTCTCATAAGCGCGTCTCTTCATCATACTACTTATTTAGTGTTTGGAGACGACACACTCCATGCTTTGCCTGTCCCTGCTACTCTGTATTGCAGGAGGAGAAATGAGTCATGACTCTTCTGCTTCCTTTATCTTGGTTACCTTGGCAGGAACGTTTTCATAGCATCCCTTTATCTTTCAATAGAAAGACGTCTTTGTATGTATGTTTGGTTGTTTGTTGTGTGTTTTTTATTTTGACATGTAATCTTTTATTAATGCTTGAAAAAGACAGAACACAGGGTGACCAATCACACACACATATCAATACATACTGTAATGTGAACAGGCCCATTATTGTCAGGGATAAGAATTTCTAATTTCTCAAGAGTTGAGAATCCTGACTGTGACAAATTTTGTTTTTATGTTTGTTATATATACCTTTGCTGCAAAATATTCCTTCAAAAGGCAGCTGGCGTGCTTCAGAACGTTATCATTTGAGCAATTTCTTTGCAGATTTCTACATGTTTGTCCCATGCCTTTGTGCATCTCTGATGGATGATAATTACAAATAATACTAGACTGTCTCAAGCAGAGGTTTGGAAATAGTTAAACGCATTAACATACTTAAAATCTTTGCGTTGTGTATTATTGCTATTTGTATTTATTCTAATATTAGAGTTTATTCTTACTGCCCAATAAAATAGCTTTTAAATATAATTCTCTCAGGTGCCTAAAATGTGCGTGGTACTTTGTATATTACTAAAATATACACTGACTGGCCACTCCATTAAGTACACTTCCTTGTTTTTATACTCTCTCTCTGTTTTGTCAGCTCTACTCGCTGTATATAGGTGCCCTTCATAGTTCTACAAATACAGACTGTAGGCCATCTGTTTCTCTGCATGGTTTCTTAGCCCCTTTTCACCACCACAGAGCAGGTGTTATTTGGGTGGTGGATCATTGTCAGCACTGCGGTGACACTGACAGAGTAGTGACACGTTAATGTGTGTTGCGCTGGTATTAGTGGATCAGACACAGCAGTACAGCTGGAGTTTTTAAACACTGTGTCCTCTCACCATCTACTCTATTAGACACACCCACCTTGTTTGTCCACCTTGTAGATGTAAAGTCAGAGATAGTAGCTCATCTGTCGTTGCACAGTTTGTATTATTCATCCTCTGGTCCTTCATCAGTGGTCACAGGACGTTGCCCACAGGACACTGTTGGCTGGATA